GTCTTAATCCCTCCAAAACCGGAGGGATTGGAAAAAGAAAAAGGAAGGAAGCCCCATCTCCCTCCATCTCCCTCCCCTCTATTAAAATTATTAATTAAATAAATAATTAAAATAAAATATTTATATTTATTTATTTTTAAAATTGTGAAAAATAAAAATAAGTTAAACAATTTGTTTTTTTTATTCCTTCCAAACCGGAGGGATTGGAAAAAGAAAAAGGAAGGGAGCCCCATCTCCCTCCATCTCCCTCCCCTCTATTAAAATTATTAATCCAAATGATCCAAACAACTAAAGGTATTGCTCTCTCTTCCTCACTCTCTTTCCCTTCCCCCTCAACTTCCCCAATCCAAACAGAGTGTTAGGGTCCACTTCCTGACAGCCTCTTTCTTGTACCTCCAAATGCTGCAAGCTTGGAGAAAAAGGTGAGGCTAGAAATAAGAGGAAAGAAGATCAGAGGTAGGAGAAGGGGGAAATAACTAGACATGGAAAGAAGGATGGGATAGGGGTTATGGGGATTGATAAAGTTCAATAACAACAGGGCTAAATGCTGGTAATCATAGTTGCAGATGAAACAAAATCAGTAGATTGCTGGAGAAGTTTGGCACAAGAGACTTGAATTGGGAGGCTGTCAAAATAAAGCTTTAATGAGGGAACGTGTCTGGCAAAAGAAAAAAAAAAAGAAGAAGTTATGTTTCAATATAATTTCTGAGTTGTTGAAAAGAATTCTCTAAAAAAAAATGACAAGGAGAAGATGAATAAATAGAATTGGAAATGAAAATGAGTGTGATTTTAACAATTTGGACATATCCTCCAACCAAAATCTCTTCTATGATGATTTTCTACATTAATTTCACCACAAAAATCGAGAAAATATTTATTGCTAACAACTCTTTGGGTCAAGGTCCAAGCAGCCATTTAAAGCTAACACTCAGCTCTTATAGTAGGTGAACTTGAACACAAATATATGACTCACCAACTTCCCGAAGTGGGACTGAGGCATCACAAACTTCCAGCTCATTTTACAACTGCACCTAGTTCCATGTTTGGATATTTTTGGATATTTTCAAATTTAGAGCTTTTTTTCAAAAGTTTTGTTCTCTTGCAAGTTGCAACTCAAGGAGGCGGTAGAATCGTGCTACTTCCGCATATGCATACATCAAATGTGAAGGTTGGCGTATATAGGCATAAGCAGATTACATGTCTCTTACAAAGACAGATAGGCACCCTTAAGATTGGAACAGCATTGCAGCATGAAGCAGAGAAAGATGGCAGTGAAAACTTATCCATTGAATCAAATTCAAACCACAGTTAACAACATAGTTGTACATGCCTAGTGAATGCTAGTTCTTTGAGAGGATAATTGGATATCAGTTCATTTTCTAGTATGTTGCATCCTGGCTTAAGTGTGAATGATCATTCTATTTAGAATTAGGATTAACCTTATATGCACTTTCTATAGTGCACTTATTACACTAATTTTGTGATTACCAAGTCGTTATTAAAAAGGCTGACATGGACTTACACTGGTTAACATATGTACACTACTTTGTGATGATGAAATCTGATTTAAGAAGGATGAAGCCAAATGATACATATCATTTATGGTGCTTGAGTAGTACTCCAAGTCTCCAACTGGAGGATAATGATGCCATCATGGAATGAAAAGTTCTCTGGTCTAAATTATTATTGTAATTTTGACAAAATTTTACGATTTAGGCTGATGATGTTCTCTACCCTTATTAATCTTCCGTCAAGTAGTGGTTTTATTCCACATTAGTCTAGTTTGGGATTAGAGGCCCTAACATTCAAGTGGACTTCATGATTGCTAATCAGTTGGGGAGGTAGGATGCCTTGACATGGTTTCAATGTTCTGGGTTTTTTGTTTCCCTCTTTGTTGTTCATGACCATGTTTGGGTAAACAAGCAATGCAATGGGAAGTACTAAGTGTTGGTGTTGGCAATGCTAATAACAACAAAACAAAGCAGACCTATCCATATATAAAGTAATAGGATTCAAGATAAGGTACCTTAGTCCTTCCAGCTATCATCTTGGTGGTGGCACTTCCCATAGGACTTGCTCATCAATCTTGCTCAGCATTTCATCATCAAGACGTTTCCATGTCTTAATCCTCTCCACTCCCATCCAAGCTTTATCGCCCTTCTGAAGTTCAGCTAATATGACCCTTGCTCTCCTTGGCCAGCCAGCCCTTCCATATGCATGGTATCCAAAGCCACCACCATAGCAAAACCATATACCTTCTAGATTCCCACAAAAGTCATTCTTGTGGTCGTGCCCTATGAACACAGCCTTCACATCTCCCATAGAGACAAAGGTCTGTAAGACCCCTGAGTTCACTGATGAGCAGGCCACAGCCTCCTGAAACTCACCTACTATTTTTTGATAATACAGCTGCACCACTTCTTGGATTGGAATATGGAAAAATGCAAGTGCTGGGGGTGAAGCCCCAATTGTGTAATTGATATCTTGATTTTTGCTCTGAAAATGGGATACCTGCAAAAGGTTAATGAAATTTAAACCTAAAAAAGCTCATTTTAGTTAATCATGAAGCTATAGAAGAAGACATGGAGAAGTCCAAGATAAACAATTAAACTTGGATGTGCCTAAATGTGTTATCAGAAAATAAGAGATCAACTTTTCTTTTTTCTTTTTCTTTTTCTTTATTTTTTTCTGCTTCTTTTTCTTTATTTTTTTCTGCATTGGAAATGCATTTCGACACTACCCTTATAGCTAGAAAACAGATTAAAGTCATTTACTATTTTTTGTTGCATAAATAATTTGACATGCATAAAATAATGGCCTGCCAGCATTTTAATTAACAAAATCATTTCATTAGTGCAATAGGAATGGTTCAATTTGTTCTACCTGAAGTCTCTGGGAAACATCTTGGAGCCAGCGAAGTTGAGATTCCTTAATCCAGCCATAGGTTTGTTTTCCTCCAACAGTTTCCCTGTCCCCACTATCAAGAAAGTAGAGGTTGAGGATGCTACTATTTGCTAGAGCTGAACCTGGAGCACCATAGACACTAAGATCATAATTTCCAAATCCATCAATGTCCGATATGAAGCTTCCATTGGCATGATTGGGATTCTTAGCCACTGGATTGGTTTGAGAGACTGAATAATCCATCAAGGATATGAAAAACATCAATTCTTCTCGCGTCATGGTAGATTCTTGGTCATGGTTTCCTAACACAGCAGCCCATGGAAGTCCAGATTCCAAGACAGGACTAAAAGCTCGAAGCAAAGATTCAGCAGCATCAGCAGTGCTTGGACCAAATATATTATCTCCTAAATCACAGAACTAAAATCCAAATTATTATCTCCAATTCATAGGTTCACGAAAATCCACTCCCTAAACATTTCCTATTTCTGCTTAGATCTACAGAAGCTAAATAATACCTTGTGAAGGAAAAGATATCTCCATCATTAATAATGTCTAGCCAAAGAAAGAAAGATCTTAAACATGCAATAACACAACAATTTTCTAACTCGAGATTGAATACCTGTAAAGGCGATGAAATCAGGTTTTTCAGCTTGAATCATCCTTCGAAGAAACTGAGTCGTGTTAAGATCGGAACAGTAATGGAACTCAGAAGGCAAGACATCTTTACACCGAGTCAAGATCCCAGCCCCGAAATGCATATCAGCCACCTTAATCACCAAACAATCAAACAAAAACCAGCTCAGAAAACTGAAACAATCCAACTCAAACTTTTGAAAAACAAACAGAGGATGAAACCACGGACCTGAAGGATCTTGAAGGTGCCATCGGAGCGGAACCGGAGAGGAAGCTGAGGCCATTTCTTGACGCGAAGATGGAGATGGTGGTTTAGCAGTAAGTTGGGAGAAATTTGAGAGTGGAGAAAGAAGAGGAAGATGAGGATTGAGATTAAGAACACAAAAGAGTGCTTCCATTTTACGGTCAGAGATTCTTCCATCTGGCGTGAATGAAGCTGGGTGGTTTCCGACTATGAGAATTCAGACAAAGATTTGGTCAGATTTTGATGACTGAGCTGAGCTGAGCTGAGTTTTTTTTTGGTACATAAAAGAATATTTTAGAGTCTGTCAGACAACCATGTGACCACCCCCAGCTTGATGGGCTCCAGCTTCGAACGATCCTCTACTGCTTCAATGATCCTCTACTGCTTCAATGATCGATCACATGGATCCTAAAGCTGTTAATCACGCTCTGATCTCATGGTTTTTGTTCATCCACCAGACTTTGGATCCTGTCTCCTTAGAACTCAAGGACACAGAGGTACGACCCTATAGAACAGATCCTGTTCAAGTAAGGTCGTCTGAGCTGAGCTGAGCTGAGTTTCTCATTAGTCTTGTGGGTTAAATCATAAATAACTCATAATTAATTTCTATTTGAGGGTCTTAAAAGAAAGAAAGTTCTACTATTTGAGGAGGAAATTAGATTAAGGCAAAATCTTATGTTAAGTTTTTAATCTTATTTTAAATTTTGGGTTAAGTTTTTAAGTTTTGACTGAAGTAAGTAAGTCCCTAAATTTAATGGTCTAAGTAATTTATACCTCTTTCTTTAAAGTAAATTTGTGTATTTATGTCTTATTTATTTAGAAAAAAATATTAACATGTCATTAATAATTTATTAACTCTTATTTTAAATTTGAATCTTATAAAAAAAATAAATGTTAAGAGATTTTTTTTTATAGGGGTTCGATGAAGATCAACTCTAAATTAATTAAAATTTAATGTAACTTTTGAATATTAATATATCATTATTTATGTAATAAGTATTAAATTTATCTCTGTAA